TTAATTATTTTAAACGATATTTTTTTAGTAAAAGTAAAATATATCACACATGTCTGTGCCAAGAAAATTAATATCTTACAAATTATGAAAAAAATGAGCCCAATTTAAAATTAGAATAAAATTTACTTTTTTTAATTTTTAAAATCGAACCATGAATAAAAATTCTACAGCGCCTGCCGTTTTTCAAAGTTCACCCTGTATTAAAGTATCCCTTCAAAAAGTTTGTGTTTTTTAATCAACTCTATTAGGTATACAAAATATCAAAAAAAGTTTAAATGTCATCATTACAGAGTTTTTGTATTTTGTTGTAAATTTGAACGTGCCTTGAAAGTCGTCCTCGTCTTTGGTTTCGTCGTTGTAGAACGTGACTCGCTCCGATTCGCCGTTTTCGAGTGTCTCGTCCGTAGTATTGAGAACATCCTGTATATTATTATTAGGTTTCCTCCTCGCTCTCGGTAAAATATCCCAAACGGTGGGCGCCTTCAAAGGCCGATGATTATTTGGAAACAATCGTTTTTCCAAGTAGTTTTGTAAAATTTGTTCGGTTATTTTGTTCTGTCTTGCAATCTCCCGATAATCCAATTGATACCCTGAAAGCATTAAAATGATCAGTGTTGTATCAGTTTTAGAGTAAGTAATACTACAAGCGAAAGGGATTAGCAATGCAAGGTGGTATCATGCAATATTAGTGTCAAAGCACACAACACTGATTATTTTAATACAACTATTTTTCTACTCAAAATATTTACTTCTTGGACGTAATTACCGCTGACCTTAGCCCAAATACCTCAAATCAACAATTGATGAAAATTACACAATTATTATCCCAACAATGGAACAAGTTGTTGCATCACAACAAAAAATCATCAATCATTTATCAATTTTTCAAATTTAAACGTTTTCAGACCTGATTCTGCTGAAAGTTGCACGAATTTCAGGTCAATTTTCCGCGATTTTTTCAGTAGGAACTCGAAATCTAATCAAATTAAAGGTGATTAGAAGACAAACAAGTTGGAATAATTTCTATTTGTGACTGAAATCGGTGCTAAGGCCAGATTTGTAAACTTTAATTCTCCTATTTGGTATCTTGTTTATTGCAATAAAACCACGAAACGTCGGCGTTTTGCCACAATGCAAATTTGGTACTTTTTGTTGATTATTTGAATAGGAAATATTAAAAAAAAACAGTTTATAAGCTTAAAAACTGTCAAACTAAAATATAGTTTTGTTTAATTTTCTTAAGTGAAATGAAATAAATAAGAAATGTTTTTTTCAGTTAATATTTCTATTCGATAACAAATTAATTTATAAATATACTCGGTTTCAATATTTATAACATGCATGTAGTGCAAAAAGTTCATTTTGGAAAGTTAAAGTATTTATTCATCAATTATTTAAATATCACTATTACCTGCGGAATAATTTTATAATTATTTTGTACAAAAACTGCAAAAACACCCTGAACCTACTTTCAAAGAGAAAGATTCATTACTAAACTTGAAAATTTTGTGCTTTAAGAGTGAATTCCAACAAATTATATAACTAATTATAAAGCAAATTAAATAAAATGAGAAAACTAAACGTTTCTTTTGACGAACGTAGTGAGGCGAATAATTCAGCTGAGCCACATAAACTCACTTTTACTCCGAAAAACATACACTATTTTATTCAGATTGAAAGTAAAGAGCAAAACCTAATTAGCAAGTAAATGTACAAAATAATCAAGGCGTTTTGCAAGTAATGAAATCATAACAATTCTTATAAACAAATATCACGCGTCAATTTCTGATGATCTACAGAAATTGCTGAAGCGGCAAAAAACGTCTAGGCGCAAAAATAGAATTTTTACACCCTGGCTGAAAGGTAAAACTTTTACTTGTGACATTTAGTCACAAAAGTGGTCACTTTTGTGACGTTTGCGGATAAAAATTTTTCTCCACACCTTTCATTTAAAATAACAATCACACATTTATTTTTTCATTGACTTAACCTTTTCATTATTAATCGTTATTGACTTGCGATTCATTTAAATCGTGAATTACAAATTAAGACAAAAAAATTAACAGAATCGTGGGGCTGAAACAACTCGTGACTTACTCTTTCATCACATTTAATAATAATAAAAAAAAAATAATATGATTAAGCTTAAATTTGCACACAATGGCGATACTTAAAAATACCAAGCCTATTATTGATTCAGCTTTTTTAAGTCCTTGTCTGTGCTAATTAGATTCCATCAAGATAAAGTTATTAACTTGAAAAAAATTGGTGTTGAATTTAAGTGTTGAAGAAGGGAAATATTATGGGAAATTTGCGTTAATTAACAATCATTTTGTGGTACAAGAGAATGTCAAGATGCATAAGAGTGCAATTAAGTTCATTCTTGATCTCGTTTCTTCGATTTATTGATCCACAATTGAATGCAGTTGCGTAATTGACCATTCCTCTAATGCTTTTATACAGGGTGTTTGAAAAAAAACGTTAAAAGATTTCAGGTCAAAATAAGAAAAAAGTTTTTATGGTCCGGAAATGGTCCTAAGGGACATACAGCGTGTTCCAGCGAGTTGAAAAAGTTTTTTAAAAAAATTGTATAGGACACTGATAGATACTAATCTAGTGCATTACCTAAAATTATTTTCAACCATAGTACAGCATGTCCCAAAAATAAGTTACGATATAAACTTATGTTTTTATTTAAATGAAACACCGTATGTTTTTTGGCATTCTTGGATGTAGCCTTTTTTAAAACAATGTTTTTACGCTAAATTTCTATTAGTCGATTTAGCTTAGTTTTAGAAATAAGACGTTTTTTTGACGAAAACATGCATTTTTTAAAAATTTATTACACAAATACTAAGACAGCTAGAACAAATTTTTTCTTACTTCTGCAAAGGAGAAAGTACAGAATTTAAAACTGTAGCAATTGCTAAATAATTATTTAGTGTTTTGCATTTCTAAAGATTAATAAATTAAGAAGTTTGTTAAAAGTTAAATAAGTTAAAAAATTTAAATGGAACATATTTAACATATGATTTATTTTTGCATCTAATACATTGATAAAGCATTGTTGATACTATTGCAACCATAGTAATTCCACCACGGATCACTTGTCCCTTAATTTATCTAGAGATTGTTAAAGTCGTTATAAATACTGAAATTCGAACTATTTTATTGTAAAAATAAAGAATAATGGATTCAGTTTAACATAAATGTGATTATTAAGTGATAATTCTTCCGTTTTGCACAAAAAACTGTGCACTTTTTACTAAAATATCTGGAAAACTACTTGTAGAGCATTTTAACCAAAAACATCCCATTGGGGGCTGATTTTTTTTTCATTTTAACGTTTAAAAAAAACTCTTTTTTTAAGAAAGTTTTACGCAAAATATCTTGAAAACCACTTGTAATAGAGCATTTTAACCAAAAGTATCCTATTTAGCCCTTGATTTTTCGCCTGGAAAACATATTATGAAAATTCCTCTACCTGCAATTTTTTCATGTTTACTATCAAAAAAATACTTTTTTTTAAGAAAGTTAGATGCAAAATGTTTCGAAAAATGCTTGTCGTAGAGCATTTTAACCAAAAGCATCTCCTTGAGCACTTAATTTTACGTCTTGACAAACTGTATTTTGACAATTTTAAAAAATATTTTTTTATTTTTACAGTTCAAAACAACCTCTTTTTTAGGGAAAGTTTAATAGAAAAAATCTCGAAAACTATTTATCGTAGAGCATTTTAACCAACAGCATCCCGTTCAACGCTTAATTTTGTCTAAAAACTATATAAAATTTTCAATTTCACAGTTAAACGCAAAATAATGGATTCAGTTTAACACAAATATGATTATTAAGTGATATTTCTTCCATTTCTTGTGCAACTGTGCACTTTTTACTAATAAAACAATAGTAATAATTTTTTTAATGTTTAACGTTAAATATATTTTTAGTTATTGATTATAAACACCTAAAAGTAAATAATTTTTGAAAGACAATTTAATAATAATCTTTTAAATGCAAAAACAATAAATAAGGTGTTCCATTTAAATTTTATAAGTTATTAAACTTTTAACACACGCCTTCATTTTTTTTTATCTTTGCAAATGCAAAACATTAAAAAAATGTTACAACCTTATAGCTTGTACCTTCTTCTTTGCGTTAGTAAAAAAATATTTCTAGATGTCCTAGTTTTTGTGTAATAAATTTTTAAAAAGTGCATGTTTTCGTCAAAAAAACCGTCTTATTTTTAAAACTAAGCAAAATCGACCAATAAAAGTTTAGCTTAAAAACATTGTCATAAAAATTTACATCCAAAAACGCTAAGAAACATATGATGTTTCATTTAAAAAAACACAAGGTTGTATTGTAACTTATTTTAGAGAAACGCTGTATAGTTGAAAATAATTTTAGGCGATGGACTAGATTAGTATCTATCAATGTCCTATTTAATTTCACCATTTAAAGGTCGCTATTGAACTTTTTCAACTCGCTGGGACAGCCTGTATGTCCATAGGAAGTTTTTTTCTTATTTTGACCTGGAAAACCACCCCACAAAATTTGCATTTTTTTTTTATAAGACAGAATTTCACGCAAAATAAAAAACAAGAAAGTTGATGAAAAAATCTTTGAGGAAGCTCCAGACTGTTATATCATACGACCTTTGCTTTTCTTTACACCTTTCAAATCATGACATGTCTTCAAAGGTGTGACAGTTTTTGTCACTTCAACACCGACTTGAATGAAAGATGATTACAACAGAGTCATTAAAGCGGAACTTGAGACCTAGTTATGATGTTTTTGTTTTAGTTTTGATTATGAAATCAACTTTTGCACACTATCAGGTGAAAAAAATTGATTCAAACTTTTATTTACGCGACACACGTAAATTACATCACTAGTGTACTAACAGTAAAATTTTTACATAATTGATACATATTCATTGGCTACTTGTAAGAAAATCTGATCACATTCCATCACAATGCATTGTTTCTTGTAAATAATAAGTCTCGATTTTTTTTTAAACTGACACCAAGGTTGAGACAAGGCAACAAAGGCGTGGTCCCTTTATTTATTTTCAATCAGAAATCATCAAATTGTGACCGATTAGCACAACAATGCGCGTAAACAAACATTTCATAATCGTAATGAAAGTCAAGAGCAAAGTAAAGAATGACTATCACCTTGCAAGGAGGTTTATAGAATTCTAGGGTTTTGATCTATTTGCGCAATTTACGCTTTTTTCGCTCGTTTTGATGACAAGTTGCTGTGAAAGCTGATTGGTCGTGACAATGGTGCAATTTTGAATGAGAAAGTGACACGCCCACGATCACCAATGATAAATGTTTTTGATGGTATCGGATCGTTATATAGTGTTAAGTTGATTTAATTTAGTCACTGATTAGACGTTGAGTGGCAGTTGAGTGTAAAAAAAATAATGAAGTTGCTTCATTTTTTGTCGAACTCAAAATCTCCAAAGATACTTGTCGTAGAGCATTTTAACTAGTACAAAACCATTTTTTAACATTTGAAAGCGCTAAATTTGATTTTGGTAAAAAAATTCAAACTCAATGCTCGCAAACGCTCAGAATAGGTT